GGACTTGCAGTGATCCTCCTGCCTCAGCCTCCTGAGTGCTGGGATTACAGGTGTGCGCCACCACCCCCGGCAGAGATTTCACTATCATGGAAGTTAAAATGATAGTGCTACTAAACTGTAAGGAAGAGATTCTGAAACATGATTTGTTCAGCCCCTAGCGTTTGAAAAATACAGAATTAAGTGTTTTCTCAGAGATAGGGAATGCTGCCCAGGATGCATTTTATTTCTTCATTTCTTTGCCTAGGGGTCACAGTAATTGATAAACCACTATGAGCCCAACGGACATTTCTGGCGTATCTGTACGTGAGAAACAGGCTTCAACAAGTATTTCTGAAGTGACTGAGAATCTAGCACTTCTCCACTTACAGCTGCACTTTAAGTCTCAGCAGAAGACGAGACCGTCTGCCTTTCTAGGCCTCGGATACTGAAGATTATTTTCGGTAGAAGCACCGTGTAGGCTTTCTCTGCAACGAGCAGCAGCTGACGGAGTTTTCCTAAGACACCTGACTGCAGCACTTGCTCTGTAGTCCGCAGCCACCAGTTGCTTTCCTACAGACTCGTTCTCCCCGCCCTTGAGTGACTGGATTATTGTGTGAAGGGGGATAAAGTAATGAGTGTTCTCGTAAAATGAAATTTTACCTTTATTCCTTCTCTTGAAAATCTGTATTACCCGGGAACTGAAAATCTTGGAAAAGGTATTAAAGTCTCCGTAAGTATAGGAAGTAGTTGAGGGGTAAAACTGTTTGCTTTTATAAATATCTTTGATTACATGAATATAATAAATTGTGTGCACATAAATGTGTGTCTGTATGCTTTCCCTTAAACATGTTTGAAAAGATGTTTGAAACTTGATTCTTCTATTTATAATGGCACAGTACTTTGAATTATGCCAGTACTACATTGTAAAACAGAGTTGTATTTTTTGATATTTAACAATGCTTAACACTTTAAAATGCCACTTCTGGGGAATGAAAATGGTGTGACACACTTGGACCTGTGTGATGCCAAACTTTTTTAAATAAAATATAAATTATGCTTATTTATTATTTTCTTTAGTTTAATCTCGGTCATGTTTTGGTGTGTGTTTTTAATTTTTTTCTTAAGGTAACACTCTGGCATGAATATAACTGCAGGTTTTTGATGAATATAATGAATGTATGGAATTCAACTGAATTTGCATGGTCTTAAGAATTTTTCCTGTGTGTATACATTTAGCTGCTGTAAACAGAAAAGAGAGCTTTCTGTGAGTAGCCATGTGCGGTGGTTGGATAGTTTTTCTGAGATCTTCAATTAATCTGACTTTAAAGATGACCAAAACATGTCTTTCTTGAATTATCTTTGAATAAAAATTTGTATACTATTTGTTTCAGTGTCCTTACTTTTTTATCTAGTTTGATATTAAGAAAGTTGCCTGTTGTTTTTCTGGGCTTTTTAAAATAAAATTTGCATTTTCTCACTTTACAAATCCATATTTTAACTTTTTGTCAAAGTAATCAGCAAATCCATTAGATCAATAACAGATGTCTGAAAATTGTTCTTGAAGAACGAGGTCTTACCTCAGCCATTAACAAGACTCAGGCACTGGTGAAATTTAAACTTCTTGTATTTCTCTGTTCCTTATAATGAGCAGGACATGATATTAAACTAGTAGCGGTAGATAAAAAAAAGTCAAAGACAAAGTACCTTTTCTAAAACACTTGTTTTGATGTAAACAAAAGGAATTGAGGCCAGGCGCAGTGGCATATGCTTGTAATTCCAGCACGGCAGAAAGGGAAGAGGAAGCAAGGTTGGCGGGACTTAAAGGGGTTAGCATGAGCTATTGCCAGAACAAAGGTGCCCATGGAGACATTTTTATTTAGTTAACACAGATTGTTCAGATTTAAACAGAACCACATTACTTGGTTGAACTTTTCATTATAAATGAAAATACAAAGAATTGAATGAGGAAAGGCCTGTGTTTACTTGAGGCAAACAGATTTCTACATTAGTGTGGCCTGATCCACCGCCAGCAAACACGTAGAAGGCCTCATTAACTTGGAGCGCTCTTACCTGTTGGCGACAGGAGCACCGAGAAGAGTGTCTTCGTCCCTGGTCACAGCCTGTAAAAATACAGGAAAAGACAAACTCAGTTGCTCCTACTACGCTGTCACAGCACAGAACTTCACTGCAATCAGAAGAGGGTGGGGTTTTTTGCACACACCAGGTAGCTGTGCGGTGATGCCGACCGGTTACCGTAGAGGTCAGGTCTAGCCCCACTCCACTTGGAGCCCTGCCTGGAGGTGGTGTCAGGTCCCAGAAGTTAAGGACCCAGCCCCAGCTGAGCACCCTGCCTCAGCTGCCAGTCGCAGGCCCCTGCCCCTGGTGCTTCTTACCAACTACAAACCAGGGTCCTACCTGTCTGGGTTAAGTTGCTAGGGTGCCTCTCACAACTTAAGGAAATACATTTACTGGTTTATTAAAAGGCGCTGTAAAGGACACATTAAAAATGAGATACGACAAGATACAGGGGTTGCAGGGTGGAGCTCCATGCACCACCCTGCCAGCAGGAAGCACATCAGATCTTGTTCAGGAGTTTCCCTTGAGCCTCCTGTCCTGTCTGCCTCTTCCCTGAGATTGGTTAGTGGGGTTGAACTGTCCACGCCTCGACTCCCCTGGCATTTTTGCTAAGTGGTCCCATTCTAAGGGTATCTAGGACTCTGACCCTGGCGTCTCATCAGCATAAATTCAGATCTCTATATGGGCTCAGAGCAAATACCAAGGCACTCGTAATGGGAAATTCCTAGGTTTTAGGCACCTTGTGAGGAGAATGGGACACATTAAGTGTATTTCATTTTATGCCACACTTTTAAACACTAATCTTCCACAAAACTATGATGCTATCAGTTTAAGACATTTAAGAAATGTTAAAAGCTTTTTAAAAGTTTTTATTAGTGCATGTTCATAGTACATAATGATTTCGTTTATCATGGGGAGTTGGTACGTGAGGTTAATACATCTTAATTCTTCAAATGTCCCATTCCTCTCTTCTCCCTCCCACCTCCCTCTCTCCCTTAGTCCTCTTCTCATCTGCAAAATGTCTGTCTCCCTGTCTCTTATCTTTTATTTTGTTCTTTAATGTTTTCATACTTTGGGATTTTCATGTAAGAGACAGCATGTGTTACGGCTTCTGTCTAGATGTCCCCCAAACCCTCATGCAGTCACAGGCGGAGCTTTTTTACAGGTGGCTCTCGAGTGTGTGACGGATTCATGGTGCAGTGCTAGGGTTAAGGGTACTGGGGTTAAGGGTGGGTGATGACTAAGTCCACGGATGGGTTTGGCAGTGCACTAATCCTGGAAGCCCAGGTATAATGTAAGGGAGAGAAAGAGGCTTGTCTTTGTGCTCTTGCCAGCTTTGCCTGCCATGATCTGCTTTCTCCTTTGCCATACCACCCTGCCTTGGAGCCAGGCAACTGCGCACTGAAACCTCCACAAACTGTGAACCAAATAAACCTTTCCCCTTTAGCTAGGGGTGTCAGGTATTCTGTCTCAGCTACGAGAGAGAAGTAACTCAGACACCATGTGCTAGAGTATAAGCATGTGTATCTGATTTCCCTCACATTATGGCCTCAGGTGCAAACTGAGGAAGAGGTTTCTTTTGGCTGTGTGTAGAGGTTTCATTCCTGTTGCAGTAAGAATTTACAAGAAATAGATTTAATACAGGACACGTAATTTATAGGATTGTTTTATAATATTCACTCAAAAAGTCAAGTGCAGAGGAGTACAAGGAGATCTGGCCACACAGTAGAGATCCAAGAATCCAGGTGAGGGCCTGGATCTCATGGAAGTGTCCTCTGCGTCTAGCTGGAAGCCTAGAACCCACAACAATGTCTCATGCAAGTCTGTTTCAAGGATCTGCACTGCGAAGGCCCAAAGGTCTGTGGTGGAAGATAGAAGGTCTGCACCAGCGGGATGAAGGAGCTGTGTCGCCAGGCTGAGGGATCTGCACTGGAGCCAGGAAGCAACGCTCAAGGTAAGGACCAGAGCTCCCCTGAAGAGAACCACAGCCGTCCTCAGTGACAGCGAGGACGTGAGCTCCTCCGATGATGAGAGCAGCTGAGTTCATATCAGGAAAACCAGCTACAGCTCAGAGATAATTTGGCCCAACTCTATCTGACTACACCCAGCTGCACTGTAGCCTGCAGACATGCCCTGATTGCTGGCCTCTTTCAAGGTCTTTCTACCTGGGGTAGACTAGCCCAGTTAAGGACATGCTTGATTATCCTTGCTTACTCTGCTCGACTCCCACTGACATTCCCACCATATGATAAATGACCACCTCCTAACTAAAACCTGCCCAGAACGAATCTAACAGTGTGTGACTAACAGACGTAACCAATTACAGAACAACCCGCTATCAGCTTTTGTACTTCCTGCTTGCAAACCATATCTAAGTTTCTGTTCTTAAATCGGGGCTGCTGATTCCCACCAGCCCGCCGGCAGAGTAAAGCTGTTGCCTTCCACGTGCGTCCGTGCGCGGTCTTCTCCGTTCAGTCCCAGGTTCTCAACACGGAGCCTACCCTTTCTTCAATACAGGGAAATAAATGAATCGAGCCGCCAGATCTGTGTTTCTTCATAGCTCTAAACGCCCAAGGACTAATTTGATCCTTCCACATACCATACACGTGCTCAGATTTAGAGAACCTATCTTTGGCGGTAAAACTCTAAATTGGAAATAATGACCAACATATACTAAGCACTACTTTGGTGTCGGGTACTGTGCTTATCTAAGAACAAGCACCCCCCACCTTTTTTTTTTGAAACAGGGTCTTGCTATGCAGTTCAGGCTGGCCTTGAGCTCACTTTGTAGTCGGGGCTGGCCTCGAACTTGCAACGATCCTCCTGCCTCAGCCTCTCGAATGCTGGGGTTGCAGGCGTGTGCCACCATGCGCGGCAGAATAAGCACCCTTAACGACAAGCCTGGTAAGTCTGAACGCCATAGTAACCTCCTAACTGCTACTGGAAAGGTGGCAAGGTTGGGCAGTGGGGAAAAGTGCGAGTTGAGGCTGGGGTGTTTGCACATCTATACTCAGGATTATCGCCCGGTGTGGTGGCGCACGCCTGTAATCCCAGCACTAGGGAGGCTGAGGCAGGAGGATCGTTGCGAGTTTGAGACCACCCTGGGCTACAAAGTGAGCTCAAGGCCAGCTTGAACTGCAGAGCGAGACCCTGTCTCAAAAAAAAAGCCAAAAAACCCCCCAAAATACCCTCAGGATTTTCACACCCCAGAACACAGCGGGAAGAGATGCTAGGAAACGAGCAAAGGCAGGGTGTCCCACATCCATCGCAAAGCCCCACCTGGGCGGCCTCAGCTCACGTTTTGAAGCGGTGAACATACCTTGTAATGGACTAGTTGGGACACACAGCAACTTATTCAATAGTATAAAAACTGAATTCCAGTAGTACGTTGCGTAGCCGGGCTTGTTCAGCTCACTTCTGCGGTAGGTCGAGGCCAACCCCTCCGAGAGCAGACCCTCCCTTGGCGGGTGTTGTGTCGTGCTCTGAATCTTTCTAAACCCCCTTTCTCCTCTGTAATACGGAGGTAACCGCGACTGTCGCTCGGGTATCTCCGGGTTTACATCTTATTTGAAATTCTCAACCTTCCATGTACAGGGATTTATTAAAGGATACTGGGCCAGGGGAAACAAAGTAAAACAAAAAAAGATCCAGATCTAGGGTACACCACAGGAAGGCGCGATTAGAAGCAAAACATGATTTTAAAACGCATTTGGACCACTTTCTTCCCGGGTTTGGGGAAGAGCTGCTAACGCAGGGCTGCGCGGTCCTCTCTCCTTCTCTGCGCAGGCGCCGGCTGGGAACCCGGAGGGGAGGGGTCGCGGTTGCCAAGGTGACGCCCGGCATCCGCAGGGAGCGCGACCCGTCCCGCCCCATCACGCCGTCACGCGCTCCCGCGCTTCCCCGCCTCCGAGCTCGCGGCGGCGCCGATCACTGGCTGGACGCCCAAGTCTCACTATCCTCACTCCATCCGCGGAACCAATGGCGGTGACCACCAGGGATTCGTGACGTGAGTCACACGCTGACGGCGCCGGCTCCGCCCAATCACCGCGCCGAGGAGGTTGGGCGGCAGCCTCCTCAGACCAATAACGGCAGGAGGGCGGCCGCGCCCCCCAGGCCCCGCCCCGAGCCCGGAGAGGTGGATTCCGGCTGCTGGTGGAGTCGGGCGGCTTGGGCCGCTGTCTGCTCGCGGCGCGCAGGTGAGCGAACGGGCGCGCGGCGCGCG